CTTGAGAAAGGTGTGATTTTTGACATCTTTTGGGGAGGATTCAGTCACGTGTGCATTGTTCTCTGCCACAGCCTCACAGCTGATTTCCACAGTCCACCTTCTGTCTAATTCCTGAGTCACAGATGACCTCGCAGGCAATCAACTTTTATTATTTTCTGTCAGATAGCTGGGTTGATGTATAACTCTATTTCTATAAACAGGCCATTTCCTCAGCAGATATCTGAATTTTATCAAATGTATCATTTATCAAATTAAGCTTTTCACAGAGGCTCACTTTTCTGGGTTTAAGGGCAGCCTGTACTTGAAAGAGACGATCACCATCACAAATTTTCCCCTGAAAACAGTATGTATCATTGCACATAAATTTCTACATAATGCCAAATTTTCATATGAACACACTCAAGTCTCATTTGTATTGCAAATTTATGCATGCAAAGTCAGCATCTGCACAAGTAAAATAAATAAAAGATTTCAAAAATTCAGGGGGTTAATCCGATTCTGTATATTTAAACATCTAGGTTCACACATCCCAAACATAAAGGAGTTTATGTCAATTTAAAATCTGGGATGTTTATCGTGAACATGTGCTGCAATGCAAGAGAAAGGAGATATGGAGCCACCAGAAGTTCACTTTTTAGGTTGTCAGGACTTGGAAAAGTTATTCACTTCATACTGCTGAAACACAAAGCTGGCATGTAGATTCTCTCCGGGGTATAGTTGTGAATGTCTCGGGACCTTAAACCTTCCTGACCACTGTGAGACTTCACTGATATAATCCTGAATCTCACAAAGGGAAGAATAACAAGGAGAGTCCAATGCACAGCTGAGTTTCCAGCTGCCCAAATATCAATCTAACCACCATTGTTTCACCATGGCTAGTACGTTCACTTTCTTTAGGGTGTGCATTGAGATAGACATCAGAGAGAAAAGTATATTTGGTAACAAGCAGCATTGTTTATTCCTGTAAGGGAGATTGGAGAGAAAGATGTTGTGTAAAGATTTGCCAGTCATCCTTTTGAGTAAAAGGAAGAAATACAAAATACACTCACCACAGTGGACCAGTGAGTGAACTCCTTACTGAGTTCTTAGTGAAGTACTTAGTGAAGAAGGCAGATGTATCTGGCAAAGAAGCCTGAGTTGAGACACAGCTTTTCAGCCAAAATATATCTGAGCCATGCTGAATCACAGGGATGCTTATTCCTGGAAATTTGCTGTGGCAGGTATTGTCTGTTACTCTATCTCACGTGGATAGGCTTGCCTTTTAAAACACCCCCTTTCTGGCCCCACAATCCACGCTGTGTATGTTAAAGACCTGAGTCTCCTTAAACTTTCTTCATGCCTCAGCCTAATGCTGTGGCAGATTACTGCCACATAAACGTGAAGGAGCTACCTGGATCTCCCACCATTGCTGGACTGCAGCCTTTAATCTCAGCTGTTAATAGTCAGTTCCTGGTCTGAAGCTATGGATGCTTTCAAAGCAATCGCTGCACAGGTCTAGAATACCAAATGCAAGCCCTGGAATATTTCTCTTTTACCACTGAGAAAAAATAATACAGAATTAAAAAGCCACATTCAGTCAGATGTTGCTCCTTGACATGGCAAATATAGTTATTATATGCAAAACTGAATCATGACAGATTGTATCTGCAGGAGGCAAAACAGCTCTGCCAAATCAAAGATTCTCTCCTGAAAAACTAAATAATTGCATCATGATAACAGGTTTCAGTAAGACACTGGGGCCACTGTCTTGATTTTTGGATAAATAAACCTCTGGCCCTGTTGTTTATCAGTTAAATGAACCTTTGGGGACATGCAACAGTGTACAACTAGAACACAGTGATTCAATGTTCAGGCATTTCTAATCAACACTTCTGAACTTCAAACACTTAATTAATAGTCAGCAAACATTATTAATTGAACCTTGCAGTGCTCTCAAGCACCTAGCTACCACTCTTTGTACCTGGCAGGTACCAACCCTGCAGATAATTCAGCTGCTTGCAGGCACCACTGAAGCAGATATGGAGGCCACAAATAGTGCTCAGGAGCTCCTGGTTCATGGTGCAGCCTCATGTCACAGTGGCACCTCAAAGAACAAGCTGTGACTGAAAAGAGAAGCCTGTTTGCTTTCCTGTCTTTAAGATTGTTGAGTTGTGACCGTGTTCACAGGGGTCTGAGGGTGAGGGAAGAGACGAGGATCTGACTCCATGTTTCAGAAGGCTTGATTTATTATTTTATGACATATACTACATCAAAACTATACTAAAAGAATAGAAGAAGGAAAGGATTTTTCATAAAAGATGTCTGTGACATTGAGTTATCACAGAGATACCACCATGGTTAACCTTCTGCTGCTATTTGTGCTTTTTCACAGTAAGAATAATTAGTATTTAATAATATTCATTACTTTTCATGAAACATGACTGGGTGTTTACTTACTTTTTCAGAGAAAGTATTTAAAGACATATTTTGTTCACTAAAGAATGAAATTATTTATAATTTTGTCACATTTAGTAATGTTCTTATATACAGGAGTCAGATTACACTGTAAACAGAGGAACAGTCAGTGTTCTACAATTTAGCTTGTAATTACAGATTGGTAATTGCATATCTAATAGTAAGGTTGTAATTAGGATCATCCCCACAGTTCAGGTCAGTCTTAGCGCTGAGGTCACAGGCAATTCAGTGACTCAACCAAACATCCTCACACTTAACCACTTGTTTTTCATTGCTGGCTCTAATACTTGAAATACAATCATTAAATAAGGACTATGCCTTCTTGGTCATCTGTCTGCAAACAAGATTACTATTTTCAAGCTTCTCTGCTAGAATTACCTTGGCCTCTTTCCATCTATTCACCTCCAGCCATCCATTTTGATTTTTATGGGGGCTATAGATTTTCAGGCCTTCCTGGGGCTTTTGGGAAGAACCTGCTTTATCTACATAGTGCCTTCTGGACTGGGCTGCTTGGACAGAACAGTTCCAAGGCTGTCAGGAAAACTGTTCCCCTATCCCAAGCAGTGGGTACTGCCTCCCCTCCCATCCACACTGCCATGTAAACAAAGGGCAAAGCACTAAAATCCTGCTGGGACCTCTGATTTCCTGGCTCACAGGCACCTCTGGTCCTGCGAATCTGCAGCTGCTCATGCTTTCAGCGTTCCCCATATCTCCATGCTCCTGAAAATCATCCATAAGGTTCCAGCTTTTCAAATTGCTGTTGGAGCTCTTCCACATTTTCTTCCCTATTTGCGGCAACTGCTTCACTCAACATCCCTCTGCTTTTCCTACTCCGTGTGTTCCACAAGCCTGCCACATGACCTCTCTTTCCCCCTTTCTTCCCATTTACTCTCTGAGCACCTTTTCAGCTTCACATACTTCCAAACTTTATTTCTCCTTCCATTCTCCGTGACTCCCTGCCCAGATAAGGTCTCACTTTATCCCTTTACATGCATGTGTCACTGGCAACTTGATTTCAGTGCTTCTTTCTTTCAGAATTCTGTTTTGGATCCTGAGGGGACTCCTCTCCTCTTCTGGCTTCAGAACTCACCATTAACAGTGCTAGGGAAAAAAAAAAGTTCATACTAGTAAACATAAGAGAATTAAAATACTCCTAGTCAAGATGACAGAAGGCAAAGCATTAAGTTCCACAGGTATACAAGCCACACAATCCAGCACCTTCTTCAAGGTTAATTTTTTAATGTATATTTACAACAAAGTCCTTCTGAAAAAAAATAGTTTATTTAGATACCATACCCATACAGGACACTGTACATACACTATTTACATAGTTAAGATGTTGGTAACAGCGTCTGGCCTTTGAAAAAGTTCTTGTAAAGAAGCCCTTGATCAACACACTTTACACTGGACTGTAATAACTTAGCAAATTGCACAGTGGTTTCTAGAACCAGACTTTACATCTGTGAGGATCAAACAGAAAAGTGAAGGACAGAGGAGCAAAGTCCAAGTCATCTAAGCTGTTTAACTGAGCAACTGAAATATTTTATCAACAGGGGGCTCAATTTTCAGGCCATCTCTGAACTTCTTGGCTTTGTGTTGTGTTGTTTGACAGCTGTAGTATCTCACAGCTCGCCCTGGAGAGTTTGTGGGTCTTTTTTCTTACTCTAAAATAAATGGTATCTGTGCCTAAGCTCCAGCTCAGATTCTGCACCTGTTCCACTTCAAATACTAGCAGGGATTAATTAGGCTAATTTCCCGTACTCTCCTGATGCTGAATTACAGGCATTGCTAAACCACATAGCGTGAAGATTTACTGAGAAACAGCAAACCAAGGAGGCTTTGCCCAGCTTATGTCACCAGCAAGCTAGCCTAAAGGATTTTATTTGAGTGAGTGCGGTTTGTCTCCACTTTGTTTACTGGCAATGATGGCTTAAATTCAATTTGTGACCTTTCCTGTTACGTAGTTCTCAAAGAGCTAACGTGAACAAGGTGGATGGAGCTCTGAGAAAGGTGATGCACTGAGTGGCATCCCTGCCCATGGTAGGAGGAACTGCAACTAGATGGCCTTTAAGATTCCTTCCAAGCCAAACCATTCCATGAGTGTACGATAATATTCAGTGTTTGTAATTTGCAGAACTCTTTTTCACTTATTCTCAAAATGCAAAGTACGTTTCCCGCCGCGGCGCTCCCTCCGCCCCCTCACGGCCGGACCCGCCCCCGCCCCGCCCCGCGCTCGCTCGCCATTGGCTGCCAACAGCGCGGGGGGCGGAGCGCGCCGCGGAAAAGCCGGCGCCTGCGCCGTGCTCCCCCCCACCCCCTTCAGACCGGCTTCCCGCTCGCGGGGCTCCGCTTCCGGGTCAGGCCGGGAGTTCCGTCGCGTCCGTCGGGGTCGCCGGGGAGCGGGGCCGGGGCCGCCGCCGCCCGGGCGAGGGGCGGGCGGAGCCGCGAGGGCCGCGGGGGGAGCGGCGGCATTGCGCGGCAGGGCGGCGAGAGGGCCGCGGGGAGGCGGCGGCGGCGGCGGCGGCCCCCGCCGAGGCCTGGTCCGGCCCGCCGCCGCCGCCGCTCGGCCGATGCGCCCGGAGCCATGGACAAGATCCTGGAGGGGCTGGTGAGCTCTTCCCACCCGCTGCCGCTGAAGCGGGTGATCGTGCGGCGCGTGGTGGAGTCGGCGGAGACGCCGCTGAGCCAGGCGCAGTGCCGCGCCATGTTCGCGCTCGGCACCCGGCTGGTGCTGCAGGGCCCCGACCCCTTCCAGCGGCAGGTGGGGCGGCAGGTGCTGGACGCCTACGGCCGCTTCCACCGCGCCGAGTTCGAGGCGTTCTTCAACCGCGGCCTCGTCCTCGGCCTCCTGCAGCGCGGCTATGGCGAGCTGAGCAACCGCGACCCCGCCATCCTCGACTACATCCAGGCGGGGCTGCGCCTCATCATGAGCTGCCCCTCGGTGCTGGAGCTCTTCGAGCTGCTGCAGGTGGAGGCGCTGCGCCTGGTGTGCGAGCGGCCGGCGCCGCCGCTCTGCGCCCGCCTGTGCCAGCTGCTGGGCGACTTCCCGCAGTGCCTGCCCCGCGGCAGGAAGCTCTCGCTCGCCTTCTGCCAGCAGCTGGTGCGCAGCATCGCCCACTTCCAGAGCCAGGGCACCCGCGAGGCCGAGCTGCGCCTCTACGTCTCGCAGGTGAGCCAGGTCAGCGCGCTGCTCCGGAGCGTCTGGAAGGCCGAGCCCGACACGCTGCTGCCCTCGCTGCAGGAGCTCTTCGCTGTCATCTCCGCCGCGGGTGAGCGGGAGCGGCGCGCGGTAACGGGGCGGGGGTTATTCGGAGAGGAGGAAAGCCCTAGCGCAGGCAGTGGGTTATTCGGAGAGGAGGAAAGCCCTGGCACAGGCTGTGGGTTATTCGGAGAGGAGGAAAGCCCTGGCACAGGCTGTGGGTTATTCAGAGGAGAGGAGGAAAGCCCTAGCTCAGGCAGTGGGCGCTCTGCAGGCATTGCCTGATAACTACTGCTTTCTCACCCACATGCTAAAATGCAGCTTCTTGACTGTGGAGAAAGCAAAGCCTTTTTTATTTCCCACCCACCCCCCAAAAGCTAGAGAATACTGGTGGTTTTTTTTTTTTAATTTTTTTGCTGGGGAGCAGGATTGTGTTTGTAAAAACTCCTGATACAGTGCTTTAAATCATATACTGAAATGAGGTTTTGGATGCCCTATTAAGGAAGATTTAAAACTATCAATGTAAAATGCATATAAATATCTCAAAGGCTCTTGCCAAGAAGTTGGTGTCAGACTCTTTGTGTGCCCAGCAACATGACAAGGAGCAAAGGCCAAAAACTAAAACACAGATTTCACCTGAACATGAAGAAGGGCTTGTTTAGGTTGAGGGTGGTGGAGCACAGGAACAGGCTGGCCGTGGAGGTTGTGGAGTCTCTGGAGAGAGGGAGACCCCACTTGTGTGTGTTCCTGTGTTACCTGTTCGAGGTGACCCTGCCTTGGGGCTACATGATCTCCAGAGGTCCCTTCCAACACAGTTCTGTGATTCCATGAAAGGCTACTCTTGCTTCTTGCTCCCTGGAACTGTTTAACGAATAGGGATTTATAAATAGGTGTAAGTAGTCTATGTAAAAGCAATGTATAAAATTTTAGGAAGCATCCAGTGCCTCAGTAATGGAGATGTGGTTGTAAATAGGTCCTTTCTGACTTCTGAAGCCTGTGAAGTACTATAATAATTGCCATTGCAAAGTGCCTTTGCTGTTGAGGCACCTGGGAAACTTGCCATTGCATTTTGCCATCAGTGGTATGGTCAGCAGAGAGTTGCTGGGATGGGATGTGGAGAATACCAGCTGCACTAAATTCCTAGGCTTAATATGAAGTATAATAAACAATTTATGGTACTTCTTTTTAGAAAAATACAAAACCTACTTCTCAATTCCAGTTAGGGTGGAGGAGGAAGGAGTTGGCAGGTTGTCGCTTTCTTGCACGGGTATGAAGTGAACTAATGGCATTTGTAATTGACTGCTATCAATTAATTTATTGATGTATTCTAATTTTGGTTTGGTTTGTGATAATAGAATGCCAGATATAGGATAGGTTTATTGTCACTTTAAACCATGGTGAGGTTGTATGGTAGAACAAGAAGCTTACTTTTTTTTCTATGGGGTTTTCTTTCTAGTTCCTTACATTGTCATATTCAATTGTTGCAGATACTTCATTTGAGCCTTCTGTTGCACTGGCAAGTCTTGTGCAGCACATACCATTGCAGATGATTACAGTACTCATCAGGAGCCTTACTACAGACCCTAATGTGAAAGACACAAGTATGACTCAAGCTCTGTGCAGGTAATCTATTTAATTGTCAAGGGAGAGAACAGTCTCTTTTTTTGATCTTGCCTTTCTTGAAGCTGTTACTGAAGTTCCAGTAAAAAAAACAACAAAACAAAAGTGTGAAGAAGAGGAACTTTTGAAATGGTTTTCTAAGTCCCATGGTTTCAGTTTAAGGTTGCTGCCTTCATTGCTATTGTGGCTTCATTCTCCAGCCCAGCCCGGGTGGATGAAGAGGGTTAAATAGAAACTGAGAGGAAACATCTGTGTTCTTCTTAGATGACATCTTAAGTGAGGTCTGCTGCCTTATGGAAGATGGTGTAAGTAGGAAACTGCTTAGGATTTACAGTCAAGCTGAGAAACAAGGCCTTGTTTTCAGAAGATGAACCTTTCTGCTTTTCCAAGAAGCAGGATAGCATTCTCATGTGATAGTAACCATCAGCTCCTGCTCAGAAGAAAGGAGCCAGTTCTAAATGAGTTTTACTGCTTAGCTTTGAGGGATTTTTTTCTGCTTAGGTGTTTTAATTTTTTTTTTTTGAAGGATTCACAGAGAACAGCTTCTATTACTCTTTTCACTCAAACCTTCCTAGGTTTTTTGGGCATTCTTTGAATGACAGAGAAATAGGAATTATATAAAAGCAATTGCATATTATGTTTGTCACTAATCTAACCTTGAGTGTGGTGTAGATGAGTAGCAGTGTAAACAGACTGGGATTCAGATTGCAATTGTGACTGGTATCTTCAGATATGTGAATAATAGTGATGCAGAAAAATGGCAGTGATAGAAGGATGAAGACCTTGAAATTGGTGGATTTTTCTTTGAAATCCGATTGAAGAAGCTGTTATTGAGTACTGAAGGGTAGGAAAATGGGTAATGCAGTTAAACAGGGGACTACTAGAAATCTGTATTGTTTAAAAAATAATTTTTAAGAAGCCTTAATCAAAGAGTTCAGTGTCTGCAATATGATTATTTTCAAGTACATCCATTTGGGTGTACTCTTATACTTAAGCATTCGTGTAGTGTAGCACTTGAATATCTTGGTGGGCTTTCTCACACTGAAAACATTCCTTGTGTTTACAGTAAGTTGAGAAGCTGTATTTCTGTTGAAAACATAATGAAAAGAAGCAGCATTAGTAATACAATTTGGGGTGAGACATATTGTATAGGGACTTCAAGGGAATCCCCTTGGCTGAAGAGATTTCAACAAAGCTGTGTTCCCAATCTAAAGGTCAGACCTGGGAAATTCAGGATTTGGTCATGGTGATAATTTGCCAGTAATGTGCTGGTGATTCATTTTCAAGTTAGTGTAGTTTTAACATTTCTGTTGCATTGCTGCATCAAGATAGTATAGTCATAGAACTGTTATAGTAGGAGTCCTAGTAAAATCTATGTATTGTATAAGTGGCCTTGCCCCAATCCTAGTAGTTCTAAATGGGCTGCAGCTGTGGTGTCCTTAATTGGGCAGCAGCTGTGGCTAATGAAGATAACTGGGATAGAAGGGGGTGGGCTGGCTGGTCAGGGAGAGCCTTGGAGGAGCCCTGGTGAAGAAGCAGGAGCAGCACTGCTGTGAAGAGCTGCGTGTGAGAAAACCACCCAGAGGGTATGGGACTCTAGAAATATGATAACAACAATATGAATACAACAAACTGTAGCTTGAGAACACCTTTGCTGTGTGCCTCTGCTTAGGGAAGCAGTGCAGTACTGAGCTTTAGTTACAGCAGGAGCTGTTATTATCAAATAAGTGCTTTTTTTTTTGGTACCAGCCATGTAATGGGTGAATTTTTCTCTTGCTTTTGAAAGGGAAGGGTAATCTTACTTGCTTTGTTCTTTCTTTGAGGTAATACTCTCTCTTCAGAGCCTCTAGCTTTGTTCCATGGAACCTTGTTGGTTCTATGGAGCTTCATGCCAACATTGCATCCAGTTTCTTTTTCTACCTCTGGCAGCCCCTTGCAGTTATGGCTCTCTTCTGGCTTAGTGAAGCAATTGTTAAGAGGTTAATGCAGCTGGAATGTCTGGAGCACCAAATGGCTCTGCTGTCATGGGGCTTGCAGCATTCCCAGGAGGTGCAGAACTCCAGGCACAACAAGGTCTGATGAGAGTTAGTAGAGCTTTGGTGGCTGTAAATTAGAGACCTTGTTGCTCACTTCCTAAGTATAGCATCTGTGGGACTGCAGAATCTTTCTGAAGTTGAGCACAGAATAGTAAAAATTTATATTTAACACACTCATAAGTTGAGTTTGCTCAGGGTGGGCGGTACATTAGACACAAGATCATGTTAGAATTTGGCTTGAGCTGTCTCATCAAGCCTTACCTGAAGCATCAATGAGCAAAAGCAGAAAATTGTTGAATCTCATTGAAGATATATGGGTACTTTAAGAGTCTACCTCAGAAGTCTGGGAGGAAATGAACTGGCTGAACTCAGGATCCTGACAAGTATAATGCTTCGTTGCACTTCAACCCAAGTATCTTTGTTAAGAGAAACTGAAAATTTTGCTGAGAAAAACTCCGGATATAACCAGGTGCTCTGTCCTATTGGAAAAAATGTAAAAGACTTGTAAGTTATTGGGGGTGACAGGTAGTCAGAGGATCTTCTGTTGCTGTTTTGGGATTTTTCCCCTAATCTGAGGGATTTTTTTCCATTATCTGTGCTGCCAGATTGTTTGATGTGGTGGAGATACTTTGTGAAAGAAGTTACTGTCTGTGATTGCACAAATAATTTTCTTTTCAAAGATATCAAAAATACTGTCCTTACTAGCCATATATGTGGGTAAAAAAACCTACTGATTTTAAGGTGGTATGAGGAAGAAGGTCCTCCTGAGGCTTTTAAGGTTTTCTTAATCTAGTCAAACCCAAAAAAGCAATCCTCTCTTCATATTCATAATCATCATGGCCCATACTAGTATCTGCCTAAAAATGAGCACTCATTGATTGCAACAGAGCAGAAGCCAAGTAAATGCAACCAAAGTACCTGGTCTTCACCTACCAGATATAAAATGTGATGCCTTTTAGGACAGTCTCAATGAGTTCACTTCTGTCTCTTCTGGCTTTTGTTTCTGCTTTCAAAATCATTAACTCTCAGGTGAACAGTCAGATGTTTCAGAATAGTGGTTCAAATGTAGGACTCTACAGAATATTGTCTAAACAGTTAAGAAAGCAATATATTGTCATTGGGTTTAAATTAGCTCTGCAGGTGTTTCTGACTCCTGAAAAATACCAAGCCTACAAATCAAGGAGGGGAAGATTTGAACATGATTGGTTTGTGAGTTGTGGGGTCTTGTTTTTAGGTTTAAGGTTATTTCTTCACAGACAAAAAGTCTGGGCCTGTGTTTTTGATTCTGTATTTCAGAGGATATATGGAAAGGTTGCTCAGGATAAACATTCTTGAATTCAATACCTTAAGGAAATAAGAGCTTTGTGTAAATTCAGAGCACTGATTATGATGTTGCCATGTTTTTTTCCTTTTTTTTTTATAGTAATATGGATGAAACTTGGTAAGATTTGTGCTTGTTTGTTAAAAAGGCAGTTCTAAAGATCCCTTATTTTAGAGAAGCCTATGTGCATATTCTAAGATATATACATTATAACTTGTCTCAATATCTGTCCACTCTTGTGGTAGAAAGTTTTTTCTTCCACCTAGTGCTGCCAAATTAGTGCTGCCTCATCTTGTTTGAAGAAGGGAATCTTACAGACAATTAAAGAAAATTCAAAATATTACCAAGTAAAATCTCAGAAGAACAAAGCCTAGATACCATGTTTTAGCTGGCACTCCCTTACAATATTGTCTGTGTCTTAGGATTGTTTCAGCTCATCTGCCTGTCTGCCTTAAGGATCAGGATAAACTAACTGTTGATTTAAAATACCTCTGGTTTCTGTTCCTGATATTTCACTGTATTTTCTAGGCACAGGAGGTCCCTTCACTTTTTTCTTAGTTCAAGTGAAATGATCCCTTTTGATATTTTTGTAGCAGACTCCAGACTGCTCAGTGTATTTAAAATGACTAGATTTTACTATTAATTGAGAGTGTTTGGAGTGGCTTCTGGGAGTGTAGTTGTAAGTTGGAGAGTCTTCCTTAGCAGTGAGTTTTGGTCTGCTTTGGAGTAAAAGGTGTTAGAGGGGAGGTTACCAGGTACAGGCACTTGTTCAGCAGTAAGTTTTTGCTATATGTTAGCTCAATGTCTGTAACATCAGAGTGCATGTTGTAGACCTGTTTGGAGAAGCAATACAAAATATTGACTTTTTTATGGTAAGGTATTTCTGGGGATGCATATTTACTTCAAATGTATTAAATAAATCATTATTGATTTCAGAGTTAAATTACTTGAGGTATAATCAAAATTATTTTACCACTTGCCCAGCATTGCTGCATTACTCATTGTGAGTCTTACTGTGTAAGCATGTTGCAAGCATCTGTTTTGTTGAGGTTAAAGTTAGCAGCATATTGTTGTTTAATATTTTGTGTTCTCCTGTTTTGCAGAATGATTGATTGGCTGTCCTGGCCTCTGGCTCAGCACGTGGAAACGTGGGTGATTGCACTGCTGAAAGGATTGGCTGCAGTCCAGAAATTTACCATCCTCATTGATGTCACCCTGCTTAAGATCGAATTAGTACGTTGGAAAAAAGCATTCAAAAAAGGGAGAGGGAAAGGAATTGCTACCAGCTATGCAGTTGTGCAGCATCCTTTTTATTGTAACATACAGTATCTTCTTATTCTGCAAATATGATGTAAATGCATTTATGGCTGTCACTTGCATGTAATGGTTTTGTCTATTTCAAATGGCTGTGTGTTTGAAGACTTTTTTTGTGTTAACTGAAATTTTACTTTGCAGATTCACTGAAATAAATGTGGGTTTTTTTAGGTCTTTAATCGACTTTGGTTTCCTCTAGTGAGGCCTGGTGCCCTTGCTGTCCTTTCCCACATGTTACTTAGTTTCCAGCATTCTCCGGAAGCTTTTCATTTGGTGAGTTACTAAATAATTGTTTTCCAGTGCTTTGAAATGTCACTCACTGTGTAGTTTCTGAAATGGGTGTGAAGAGCAGCAGAATTGATATGCTTGGGTTTTGTCTGTTGGAAGGCTGTAGAATCGGGTTCCTGTGGTTATAGGAAGGCTTTTTAGATTCCAGATTCAAGCACTTAATCTATAACTGGAAACAAGCATTGTCCTTCCTTGTATGTACCTGTTTCTGGCTAGAGTATGTGGGCATCACATTTTAACTGCATGCTTCTGGAAATCCATTTTATGTGTGCGAGATTTGCTGATCAAGTTGGATGGCAAGTAGGTTTTTGAGGACAGCTGTTTGGGAAAAACAGGTAACAGAGATAATCTGCTCTGTGTGACCTGGTCACCCTGAGTAGGCTCATGAGACCCAGGAGGCTGTGCAGTCTGTGTCAGTGTTCACGGGCAAATTGAAGGTCACCATTTCTAATGATCCCTTTTCAAAATGCGTTCCATTAGTTAAGGCCATGGGTAGGGTGTGAGAGTGACTGTGTCAATACAGCAACGTGTTCCCACACTTGGCATTCAGCTTAAAGCTTAGGAGAACATCTGAGTTTCAATAGTAACAGCCTGGCACTGTCTCTGTACCTGTTTCCAAGGCTCTGAAGGGGCATAAAGCCCTTTGTCTAATGTCAGAGGAATTGCCTTATGCCCCTTACGTTGGCTTTTGCCGAGAGATCTCTGAAGTTTCTCCGGTGCCCTGATCTTGTCTTAGGATAGAAATTTGAGTTACAATTAAAAGCTCTGAATATGTTCAAAGCATAAATATTTCATATGTTTTTCTGTCTTTTCTTTTTTCCTGAGAGAGACAAAACATTAGACAAAATGTAATATATCAGATAGCCAGATAGCCTATTCTAGTAAGAGGAATTTGATTTACCAAAGAAAATTTCTATTGGAGGCTGCATGCTGTCATGTGTTAGTATCTCCCTGCAAGATTTCATGACCATTTTAAACCATTTTCTTCACTATCACTTATTTGTGCTACTACCATTTAGTATTCTGTAATATCTTCCTTCACTTTAAGTACTTGTTTACTTTTTTAGTAACAAATGGTCTGATTATGAAAGTGTCAAATGCACATTTGATAAATAGAAATTAATTTCATACGCATTACCAAGTAAATTACATTCCATTTCCTTACACTTGAGCATCATTAAAGTAAATTATTTTGATATTTTTGTAGCAGAAGCAGTCTTGTACTTACGTATGATGTAGAACTCATGATCATCAAAAATCTACTGATATATAGAAGTTTAATGCAACCTTGAGCCAGAAGAGATAATTCTGTGTATTCAAAGTGTAACTTGCAGTATTATCCAGCCTGCAGAATTTTACTCTTTGGCAGAACTGAGAACCTACCCTTTTTCTCTTCTTCCCATGTGCTTTGTCTGTTCAGTGTTATCGTATCTCAGATACAAATCTGTGTTTCGCACCTAGCCTTTTTTACTTTGGTGTTTTGAACTGTATTGGTTCTTGTAATTGCTATGCCTTCCTCAGATTCCTATCTTCTTATGATTCCCCTTCTGTACTTTATGCTTTTAGCTTAAAAATTGTTTGGAAGTAATTAATGATGAGAAATTATTCTATCAGCTTCTTTCACAGTTAATCAATCTTAATTGCTTGGAGACTGGCAAAGGTGTCTGCTTTGAAGTAAACTTCTACCTGATGTCTTAAGGCTAATGTCTTGCACATTTAAAAGTAGAGAGCTGTGCTGAAGAAGAGGAAGGAGATGAAGTCAACATTTCTGATTCCAATCTGGCCAGTTTGAAGTACTCCTGAATCTGAACTAAGTCTCAGATAGATTACTATAGCTGTGGTGAACTTTCAGCTCGTAGTAAATGTCATGGTTGTGGTTTATGGAGCTGAGCTGCCTCACTAGGTGGAGCTATGGGCCAGTTTCCTTCTTGTAGGAATAGCAGGAATTTAGTCATTGGCTCCCAAGTCCAAGCATTAGATTCTGTTAAAGGAAAATTTAGAGGTTTGTTTTAAAAACTGTATCTGTGAAATCAGAACAAGATACTAAACTGTTAGTGGTGGCACAAAAGCAGAATGTTTGCTGTTAATATCCTTAATAAGATGAGTACTTTTGGACACTTGACTGTTTAAAACCTTAGCATGCACCTTTTTAAGTTCATAAGGTTCCTTTTAAAACTTGCTATGTGAGCTAAAGAGCATTGAATAATTAATTGTGCTGCTTGAAAACTGTAATGTATGTTTTTCAAGTCATTGTTTCTCAACCACTTCTTATTAAATAACATAAGATCTCCTGTCATTTGGCATGTATAAACCAATGAAGTTCAATTAAGTATTTTGTAGAAGAAAAAGAAAAAGGGAGAAAATGGAGTTAACACCTTTTTGCTTATTTCTTTGTTTTCCCGTTTAGATTGTCCCACATGTGGTCAGTTTGGTTCACTCCTTCAAGAGAGATGGCTTGCCTTCCAGTACAGCCTTTTTGATGCAGTTGTCAGAGTTGATACACTGTATGATGTATCATTATTCAGGTTTTCCAGAGCTCTATGAACCCATTCTGGAAGCTATTAAGGTACATGAGGAATGTTAAGAGCATGGAATGGTTCTTGTTTTCCCAGAGGTGAAGCTGTAGTTCCACAGATGCAAATTTGTTAGCACTTGCACACAGAGAAAAGAACTAAGCACATAATCTGATGTCACTCTTGTTTTTGCAATCTAAAATGAGGATAAAGCTTTGAAGAAGGTGGTTGGGGGAGGGAAGGGAACAAGGGAGGGCAGTCTATTGTATCTGCTCAGCTATCAGGGGCAGCAGCAAGACCTTGAAGGAGAACTGGGGAGCAGGGGAGATACAATGCTGCTCAATGGCAACAAACAAACAGAAACAAATAAACCTATTAAGCGTGTTAAATGTTTCTCTTGTAGGACATGCCCAAACCCACTGAAGAGAAGATTAAGTTGATCCTCAGTCAGAGTGCCTGGACTTCTCAATCCAGTTCTTTGCCATCTTGTTTATCTAGACTTTCTGGAAAATCTGAAACTGGGAAGACAGGCCTAATAAATCTAGGAAATACTTGCTACATGAACAGTGTTATTCAGGCACTTTTTATGGCTACAGAGTAAGTGCTTCTTAACAGCTTTTTTAATTGCAAATCTTGCAGTTACTGCATCCTTGATTTTCACGGAATAGTAACTTGTCCTGGGGTCTCTTACCTTGCTATAGCTGAGTGGGTTGTTTTGCACTCAGTTACTGGTTGCTTTGTTCAAGTTCAGCTCTGGAAACTGCAGTTTTAGCCACTAAAAATCCTGATCCTTCTACCCAGTGTCAAAAGAGAGGTCCTTTTTCCCTCACTGTCCTTGCTCACTGCTGTATTGTAAAAATTTTTGGTGATGCTTTTGTTATACTCTGGAAGGGTATTAAAAAAAGTCTGCCTGTATCCCATTCCTACACATTTAAATGTTTAAAGACATGGGTATTTTGCAGTGTTAATTCTTACCATACAGTAATTTTATATCTGCACTAGAGCAGAGTTCCAGTATTAAAGGAAGTGTTATGTGCTTTGGTTTCTTTCAGTTTGATGTAATTATCCGAGCTGGAATGATAACTGAATTGTTAGAAGTCTAGCTAGGAAAGTCTTTCATTTGTCTCTCTCTTTCAGTTTCCGAAGACATGTTTTATCTCTGAATCTAAATGGCTGTAATTCCCTAATGAGAAAATTACAGCATCTTTTTGCATTTTTGGCCCATACCCAGGTATGTCAGTTTTTCATCTGTTTTTCTTTAAGCTTAGATCTATGTACCAAAATTGAGAAACAAACATGATGCCATGGGAATCCTCTTGAGTATTTCAAGTATAAATATTACATTTTTGTATGGGAATCAGTCTGCCTTCAAATGCTCAGATGGTGTGGATGGACTTAGAAATACACATTTCTCTAGGTGGAATATGTTGGAGTTTTGTTGTTTCTATTTATAGGTAGTGATAGGTTTTCTTTGAGGAGAAAGAATGAGAAAATCCAAATAAGACCTCAGTTGATATACAAGCTGATTTTATGTGTCTTTCTAGGGTAAACTGTGACCTTCATTGATTTTTACACTGAATTTGATTGTAGTTCAAATTCTAATGTGAACATTATTAGCTATTCAAAACATTTTGCTAATGCTGGAAAGGCTCAAGACAGCTTCAAAATAGATGGGTCCTTATGAAGTACTGGTGTTCTGAAGAAAGCAAACAGGTTTTTTTAACTCACCAGCAAGAAAGGTAGCTGCTATAATACCTAGCTTGTACTCACTAAACATGACAATTTGCTGGCAGGATAAACTATTTGTATCTTTGTACTAGAGGTGATTGCCACAAAATTAATGGCTCTCCCTTCGTATGATTAAGTTGTTTAAATGTTTGTGTACCTTGTGTTTCATTCAGCTACTCTGTGATAATGTAGTCCATAGTTCAGCTGTTAATGTTAAAATAATATAATCAACTGAAGTTATTATATTACAACTGTGTAACCTTGTTCTCTCACTTGAACAGAGGGAGGCCTATGCTCCTAGAATTTTCTTTGAAGCTTCCAGACCACCGTGGTTCACTCCTCGGTCCCAGCAGGACTGTTCAGAATATCTCAGATTCCTGCTGGACAGGTAGGGTTGTGGTGCCATGGGTCGCAATGAACCTGCAGCCTCACCATGCAATGCTGAGCTCCTAGGAGCAGTCTTGGAACAGTTCCAGTGCATGAGTGGGGATCAGGAATGTTCAACCTCATTCCTCTCTATAGTCTACAAACTGCTTTTCTTCATGGGTTTAATCTGTAGTGAACTCTGGATGCCATAATGAATCCAGATAATTGAGAGCATGTGATGGTGGTAACAATGTGCCACTTTTATAAATCTAAATGTGGGTGTTATGTTTAAGTTGTGGTCCTGTTGTTCAATTAATAGCAGTTGGTGAAAGCAGTTTAGTTGTGCTTCTGGAATTTCATGTTGGTGGAGACAGCTATATTTCATACAAGGTGTGCAAGTCACAAAGAGATGTACATGTCTTTATAACCAGTTAATTAAGCAAGCAAATTAGCTGTGGCAGAGATAAATCAGTAATACCTACATTTATTAAGAATGCTTTTTATTTTTGGCTTGCTCAAGAGGACTTAAGCAGTATTACTTTAAGACACATTCTGCTCTTGGGGAAATTTATCTCAATAGTGAAATAGTGTTCTCTCTTTTTTTATCTCCATGTTTTGGGTTCCTCTTTCAGTTTGGATTTTCTTGCCACAGAACTGTCTTGGCTGCAGAATTCTGCCATTTTCTTTGTTTATAGCCAGACTATTTCCAAATAGTTACTTTTTCTCTTACCAAGTGTGACATACAGGCCCAGTCAACTCGGGAGCTGATTTATTAACACAATGTAATGGTAAACAATAAAAACATTGTTAGGTTTCTTTAATATTTGCCAGTTTTTTCAATATATCCATTGTGTTCTGTTATATATAATGAGACCCACAATAAATGTATTTGTGCCACTTGTACTCTAGTTGGGAACTCTATGCTTCAGCTTCCTTATATAAAAAAAATAACAAACAGATTTTTTTAGTGTAAGATACTTTAGCAACTTCACCATCTGTGGTTTTTAGCTGGAAAAAAAATCTGAAATAGTGTGGCAGTATTTGGAATATAGCACAGTTACTTGGATTTATCTTCCTTTGTTTTCAGGTTGCATGAAGAAGAGAGAACTTTGAAAGCATTGTCTTCAGCAAAGAGTTCTGAAAGTGTTATGGCTGACAAGTCCCAGGCACAAGAAACTGCCCATAAAACATTTACTGAAGCACCTTGTATGGAAAGTGAAGAAAGAACTCTAATAGAGAAGATGTTTGGGGGAAAATTGAAGACTAACATATGCTGTTTGAACTGCAAAAGTATGTCTCAAAAGGAAGAAGCTTTCACAGATCTCTCTTTGGCTTTCTGTCCCCCAGCTTCCTTAGAGAATGCTGACCCAAAGTGCATAGAACATTCTGAAGTGAAAGATGACTACATGGTGCAAAGCAGTGCTTCAGCCACCAGTCCTGATGCAGAAACACCTCTCAGTAATTTGGAAGTGAATCATGGATGTGACACAATAATGAATGAAGGAACCATAGATTTTTCTAGTGAGCCAAGCTCTGAGAACACCACAATTTCTGAACTCCAAGTTGAAAATAATGGGGATATGTCTCAGAGTCTAGTAGGTAAAAATACCCTGTCAGTTACAGACTTGCTCAATTATTTTCTGGCACCTGAAATCCTTAGTGGAGACAACAAATATTATTGCGAAAAGTGTGCCTCTTTACAGAATGCTGAAAAAACTATGCAAATCATTGAGGAACCTGAATACCTCATTCTCACTCTTCTGAGATTTTCATATGATCCAAAATGTCACATAAGGCGCAAAATCTTGGACAATGTTTCTCTGCCACTCGTATTGGAGCTGCCAGTGAAAAGAACAACATCTCCTTTGGCTGTTGTTTCAGGAGGCTGGTCTGTTGGTGTGGAGATTTCTGACACTGGAGAAAACCTTGCTAAAAAGCTGAAGCCCTCTGGTGCTGATGAAGTGACCTGCCCACAGCTGGTGCCCTATGTGTTGAGCTCTGTGGTGGTGCATTCTGGGGTGTCCTCTGAAAGTGGACATTATTATTCATATGCTAGAAATGTTACTGGATCAGGGCCTTCAGGGCTCTGCCACCAGTCTACAGCTCTCTCTTTAGTTGCTCCTCAGGATAGGTTGTTTACAGAGGAGAGTCCTTGTACTGTTGTAGAGAATGAGCTGGACACTGAGATGCCAAGGGAATGGTTTCTGTTCAATGACAGCAGAGTGACATTTACCTCATTTCAGTCAGTCCAGAAGATCACCAGTAGATTTCCAAAGGACACTGCTTATGTTCTGTTTTACAAAAAGCAGAACAGCACCTGTGGCTTAAACACCAATCCAGCAAACGACCTGTGGGTAAATGGAGACCCTCCTCTACAAAAAGACCTCATGGATGCTATTACAAAAGATAACAAACTGTACTTGCAGGTAAGATGGAAATTTTGTGTAAAGGGTGTCTCCTCAAGCCTCCCAAGAGGCAGTCTACAGGAAAGAATACAGTAGCTTTTAAGTACTCTGTCATATTAACCATAAATCACCAGTGTGGCTTCATCTTGGTGTTGCTGGACAGGTTTTGTAGTAAGGTTGTCACTGGTAGATGGGAAATTTCAAGGGAAATGGCACAAACTCAGTTCAGTTTAAAGTTTGAGTGGAGATGCTCGTATAGGTCATTTAACCACTTGCCATTCCATATGGGAGAGGCTTCAAGCAGTTCAAACTTTCATTGCCTTTATGGAATTACAGGAGTGGCTCAAGTTGACTTAAAAACTTCTAAGTGGTGTTCTTACTGGTGGATTCTCAGTTGTAGTGAAGTTTGGCTTCTAAAACTGTGCTTACTGAGATGCTGGAACGACTGAAATGATGCCCAGGTGTGGGTGACTGGGTTCCATTTTCCCTTTGCTGCCTCTGCCATATTCTCTGTGGGACCAGTGCTTCCAGCAGCACACTCCCTGTGTCCTGAGAGCCTCACCTCGCTGTGGCAGCCTTTTGGTTTGCTGGGAAAAGAAAACAATGCTCTCCACACTTGGATGTGTCTTTCTTAGAGCATTGCTGCTTTTTTCATCTTCTAGGAGTAAAAGTATGTTTTAAGATGTGTTATTTCACTGTTAGTTCAGAGTTCTAAATTAATTTTTCCAGCTAAGTTAAGAATATATTGTTCTGTCCTGAGAAAGCCTTTAATTTTCAGAAAATATGTTCAAAAAATTCTGTACCTTACTGTTTTTGTTTTGCTATTGCATATCGGTTTACCACATGGCAAATGAAGATGTTTTCAGTATAAATAACTAAACCTGCAATATGGGTCGCTCCCACTCTATTTAAAACAAATTTTAAAACCCTTACTGCAAATAAATGGAAAGCAAGGGGGGATGCTCTGCATATTCTGAGTCCAGAGAACTGTATTGACTATCAAGTTTTACTTACCTATTGTAGTACTTGTGGGGATAAATATAACAACCTGAAAATATTAAATGTTTTAGAAATAAGGTGCTTGTAAAAACACCAGTTGTATAAGGTAACTAGTTTGGTAGTGTAGTTTTTTTTAACTAAACAGGCTATTTAGGCAAGGTCTGCTTTTTTAATCAAAATCTGTGTTTGATTTCTGGTACTACAAGTTTTAAATATTTCCTTGTTTTTCCTAGTAAACATACGTAGTTTTTGGTGTGTCATAGTTAGCCAGATGCTTAGGACTCCACATATTGCTGGAGATAGCATAATACTGTCTTCAGGAGTATGGCCAGCACAACTGTGTAGACAGTGTCCTCCAAATATCTTAATTTTTAACATGAGTATGCATTTCAGTCCTTAGTAGTGTACAATAGTTTCAAACTTAGGCTGTGTTTTTGACGAGGGCAAAATAATTTAAATTCACAAGGTCTACTTTTAGCACCTGTGAAAGTATTTGGTCAAGACCTCAGTTTAGTGGTTTCATGGTAGTATAATGCAGTCAGGGAGAATGGAAGGGTGACCCCTGTAGCTACTGCAACCCTGTTCCAAAGTTTGCTCTCATTGCCTTTAGGGAGGTGTGTGGTGATGAAGTGTCATGTGGAGGCAGCAATCAGTATGAGCCTTAGCACTGGAATGCTTTCAGTTTGTTGCCAGGTCCATTGTCTTTAGCCTTCAAGAGCCAACATCTGCCTTCTCTCCCTCAATTTTTGAAGCTCTTGGCCAAGCTGAGAAAGGTATACTAAAGATAGAAAATTGCTGCAGGGTTTATTGAACTAGGTGGCCAGAGACAAAATAGTGCACGACACGTCTAATGAAGGAAAAGCATGTGGCTCATCCCTTTCTTAGATGTCTCAGGCCTCAGGAGCATTCAGCTGAAAAAGCAGCTGGCAGGCAGCAGAGCTTTCGTGTTCCTTCCACTTGTGCAGGTACATTTTTCAGCAATTGACTCTGATTTTTATCAAGTTCTTGAGAGTTGCAGAGACTTGCTATGTTGTAACAGTTAGCATAGCAATAATAATTGAAAGCTTAAAAGCTGCAATGAATAGAAACTAGATAAAAGGCCAAAGGATGGACGAGCTATGTGAGTATATTGCTATCCTATGCAGTTGATGGAGTGGAATGAGGAAGTGTCTTTAATGAACATTAATATAAAGGTTTTACCTTTTGGCTTTGCAACCAACAAGAAGAGCACATGACAATTGCCAGGATGAAAATTTATATTAAACATGTATCAAAAGCTGTTTTGTTAACTTCTCATCAGCAGTCTCATTTTTAGCGATGTCCCACATTGCTACAATACAATTTCAGCATGAACTCAGATGGATTTATTTTGTTTCATTTATGCATGCTGACGATCAGGGAAGTTGTACATCCTAGGCTGGCTGGGGATGATCAACTTAACAGTTCAGCTTAGGTGTTCACTGGAAATGAGTGATGCTGCTTTAGAAGCCGCTTTAGGGGTGTGAGGTGGTGGGTTGGGTTTATTTAATTGTGTTTACTGTGTCATTGCAGGAGCAGGAGCTCAGCGCTCGGTGGGTTGGGTTTATTTAACTGTCTGTACTGTGTCGTTGCAGGAGCAGGAGCTCAGCGCTCGGTGGGTTGGGTTTATTTAACTGTCTGTACTGTGTCATTGCAGGAGCTCAGCGCTCGGTGGGTTGGGTTTATTTAACTGTCTGTACTGTGTCATTGCAGGAGCAGGAGCTCAGCGCTCGGTGGGTTGGGTTTATTTAACTGTCTGTACTGTGTCGTTGCAGGAGCAGGAGCTCAGCGCTCGGTGGGTTGGGTTTATTTAACTGTCTGTACTGTGTCATTGCAGGAGCTCAGCGCTCGGTGGGTTGGGTTTATTTAACTGTCTGTACTGTGTCATTGCAGGAGCAGGAGCTCAGCGCTCGGTGGGTTGGGTTTATTTAACTGTCTGTACTGTGTCGTTGCAGGAGCAGGAGCTCAGCGCTCGGTGGGTTGGGTTTATTTAACTGTCTGTACTGTGTCGTTGCAGGAGCTCAGCGCTCGGTGGGTTGGGTTTATTTAACTGTCTGTACTGTGTCGTTGCAGGAGCTCAGCGCTCGGTGGGTTGGGTTTATTTAACTGTCTGTACTGTGTCATTGCAGGAGCTCAGCGCTCGGTGGGTTGGGTTTATTTAACTGTCTGTACTGTGTCATTGCAGGAGCTCAGCGCTCGGTGGGTTGGGTTTATTTAACTGTCTGTACTGTGTCATTGCAGGAGCAGGAGCTCAGCGCTCGGTGGGTTGGGTTTATTTAACTGTCTGTACTGTGTCGTTGCAGGAGCAGGAGCTCAGCGCTCGGTGGGTTGGGTTTATTTAACTGTCTGTACTGTGTCGTTGCAGGAGCAGGAGCTCAGCGCTCGGACCCAGGCGCTGCAGGCGGCCGCAGCCTCGTGCTCGTTCCGGCCCCACGGCTTCGATGACAACGATCCCCCGGGGAGCTGCGGGCCCACGGGGGGAGGCGGAGGGGGCGGCTTCAGCACCGTGGGCAGATTGGTCTTCTGACTGTGAGCACAGCCGGGAATACACCGGGTCCGCAGCAGCCCGGCACTGCTGAGGGCTAATGAAGTACCCAGCTCTGCCCAAGCTGGATCGGGCTTTGAGACTTGGTCCTTGTCCAGAAGCAAATAGTAGTGGGGTTTTGGTTATGTTTTATTTGAAATAAATAAGCGCATAATGGAAAGAAACCTACCTCTTCAAGTTCAGTTGCTTTCTTATTAAGGTATGCTTGCCCAGAAAACTAAGATTTTTTTTTTAAGTAAATGATGATGTTGCATTAAACTGAACAAAAATGTACTTATGTCAGTTTCTCTTGTCCTCATCCACTGAATGAAGAAAGTTCATTTTTTACTCTGATAGTATTGCTTTATGTGGAAAGCCATTTTCAGATGGGCTAAGCTGCATCTGTACTCTCACCCACTGCTTATTTTCAAATACAATACCTGTGTGGGTTTTCAGATATGATGCAATTTGTAATGAAGGCAATAACTTAAATGTGACGTGATACAGTACTTTCCAGGTTAAAAATTATTCAGTCCATTTCCAGTGTAAATGAAAAGAAAAAAATTATACCTATTTGCTAACTTGTTATCCTAAAAAGTGCATGTTGTGTAGGAGCAATGTTTTTAAATAGAAATTGTTAACTCAGTAGCATTTCTAATTGTTTTGAGGATTTTAAAATTATTTCAGGGAATATATCTGCTGAGTATTGGAAAGGAAGAGATTGTGTATGTGCCTTGCAGTACTGTAACTTAAACTCTGAGGCTGCAGAGGATGAGAAAATGTCTTAGTAGTCTTTTTTTTTTTGTCAGCATTAGAAATCAAGACATTTATAGAAGGCTTTTAGGTTTCCAGAAGTTAAAATTTTTTAGTTTGAAATGCAGTAAGTATTGCCCTTTATTTTTTTATTTCAAAATATACATACCGAGTGATCTATAACTTTCATGGCCTGTACTGCTGAGAAAAAACTGGTCATAAAGATGGATCTATGTTCATGGAATCACAGAAAATCTGCCTCTCTTGGTCTTTGCTGAGGATCTTTGCTTAGAAGAGTCTTTTGAAGCTTTGCCTTTGGCTTTTGCTGGTAGTGAGAACTTTCTGGTGAGTTCAGGACCTTTATTTTTTTTTTTTTTTAAGTCCGCAGAAGACCACAATTATTCTGCCTAAGGAGCACTGTTTGATTGCTCATTAGGCAAGCAGAGGCTGAGGATCCACTCCTTTGAACCTTGACAGAAATAGCAACTTTGATTTTGATGTGCAATGAGGATAACAGAAGCAAAGGACTTAGACTGTTGAACCCAGTGATTAATTCTTGAGTAATCTTAGAGTGAAGTGTAAATTTATTTAGAGTATTTTTACAAAATTCTACACTGTTTTTGCTGTGTTTTTATATTCTATTAGGTGACAAAGTGTGTCCTTAAAAAGCATGCAGACCTGGCAGGTTTTAGCATAACTGTATAAAAATAAGCAAATTTCTTAAAAATGCTTTAAAAAAAGCGTAAGATATGTTGAGAGAATTAAGTCTTGTTCATATGGTATTAAATATGAAGTTTAGTCTGAAAGGTAATTTAGCTTGCAAGTTATTTTTATATTCTCACTAAAACTATGCGATTTACCATAGGTTGAGATGTTATACTCAAGAAAGCTAGAGCAGCTGACTTTGATATTTTATTTTTATTTTTAACACTTTCCAAGCTTCCTTGTACCAGTTGGTGATACCTTGGCTTTGGCCTACTCTTTTCATTGCTATCTCAGTGGTAGGTCTCTGAACCAGGGGCTCAGCCACAGAAACATGGAATGTTTTGAGACCAGCATGAGGAACGTTGTCATTTCATTGCACTTGGATGAGCTTATTTTTGAAAGTTCACTTTGCTTTGAAATTCTATAACTTGGTCTCAGAGGGGTTTTTGTTTCCTTTTAGGATTCTCTGCCAGCTTGCTTTGGTTTGAAAATGTTTTATGAGACAGGTTAATTTGGCTTTTCTCTCCCAGGCTGAGGACACACTAAAAAGCTGTCTACTCATTGCATTACCTTGGGAATATTTTGTCTCTCTATCTATTTACTGCTCATTTTAAACTACTAGAAAGTAGAAGCAGGGGTGAGTGGTTTTACTCTGTATGAAATCATAATATTGTTAAGGTCAGTTTTGTTTTTATGTTCTCACAGTAAAAATACAAATTATGCAGCCTACCTAAAAATAATATGCAGTATGTCTTTTGTACACCTGTTGAACTATATTTCATGAGTTCTTAGAAGGCTTTCTACACCCTTTTTGCCTATTCTGAATTAGGGGTTAAATACAGAAAATTTAAATGAGAATAATGCAAATCAGGTTGGATCTGCTTAGGTGCAAAATGATGCATGTCTGAAATTGAAAATAACTTCCTTCTTTCACCTTGTTGACTTCTGTCAATGCATTTGCTAGGGGTTTTTAAAGTAAATTTTACAATTCAGGATACCTTTTTGTAAGTCTGCTTGCTGGCATGGCAGCTGTCCCAGGCTGGTGAGTCATAGATACCCATCTTGGAAGGTTTCCTTGGAAGTCAACCTAGTGGAAGTGAAGAATTATTTCATGCTTTGAAGTGTGCACCTTTATTATTGCTTACAGTTATGGTGTTGCATGCCCCTGTCTTCTGGACATGAGAGAAAAATGTAGATATGGTAGTTTGATTTCTGTTGCTTGTGAATGAATGCTGGATGGTTTATTTATTTACCTTTTTGGCTCAATTCTTAATAAGTTTATTCAGTTGAATCAGTAGATCCAAAATGCCTAAGACGGTTTCAGAAGCTTTAGGGTTTTTTGTTTCATGAAAGAGACACAGTTGTACCACTCAAAGGTGGTATGTCTTAAAATCATATTTGCTTCTACCAGGACAGACTGTGATTTGGTCTTTGTTTTAATGGTCACTGGAGTTGTATTAACTTTCTGTTGTGCTGTTAATTTTTTATGGTTTTTTAATGTGGAGCATCACAGTTTTTTAATGTGGATTACTGTGAACAGTCTCCCCTGTAAGAAGTGATTGCATTGTATATGAGCCCATTTATCCAGGATGAGAAGAAGCTTCTTTGAATAACTGAACAAATCATACTTTCTGGCTAGACCTTTCTTTTTTTTTTTTTTTCTGTGTTCCCTTCTTTGGAAAGTTAAATATTTTATGTTCTCTATGCTCTGGAAGTTTAATTTGGGTAAGCCTTAATTTCTTGTTTTTAATCTGTAGCAATAAGTTTGTTCATTGAGTCAGAACACATTTTTGTACAAGTGACAGGCAAAGGGCAAAAGCTCTGGGAGATGTGTTGAAACAAAATCAAGTGGGTATAAACTTTCTTTAAATAAAATTTAGGTTAGAAACAAAGTTCCTAGTTCTGGAACAGCCTTCTGGGAAGAGCCTTGCTTCGAAGGAAGAGCAAACAATGTGTATGAAAGAAATTAAATGCAAAGTGGTGTCTGAATAGTAGGCAGCTAGACCTGATAAACCAGAGGTCCCTTCCAGTCCCTTCCTAGAGTTTTGCTCTTTTGTTGGGTTTCCTGTCTTGCCTCATTACCAGTTTTGGTTTTTAAGCTTGAACATTTGAGGTTAAATAAATAGAATATGAAGCGGTGACATAACAAGAAAAGTTAACTGCTGAATTTGGGGTGGTGTTGGTCTCTGATATGGGGGAATGAAGCATAGCAATTACTAAGCCATGGTGAGTGGAAGCTTGGAGTTGTGATCTCAAGAAGTGTGCTCAGTTTCTAACACAAGGGTGATTTCCCTGGGTAACAACCTGCAGTGTCATGTCATGAGTTGGAGCACTTGGTATCTTCAGTAGGCTGTAATTAAATGGAAATTATTGGACATTTTCAAAGGGTGAGCAAATGATCTACGATATAAATGAGATTGGAAGAGACAATCTTGAAGGCTTTAATGTTCTGTGCAGCCAGTCATCATAGGTCTACCTAAATCTGAATTCAGAGCTCTGAGCAATATGCTGTTAAATCACAGCGGTGTGGGGTCCAGTGTGACAGAGCACCGAGAGTTGTGTGGTGCTGGCTGTGCTGTGTCTGACACAAGCTCTGCCTGTGGGTTGTGGTGGAGCACTGCCTCACCACACAAGCTTTCGTGTTACAGTGCACACACACAGCTCACTGGCAATCTGCTTTTGCTTGTATTAAAGCATCCGAATCAAAGGCACCACAACCAAAACTACCCTGACTGAAGCACGGATTAATGGTTTTTAAATACAATATGCACCCTCCTTATTTCAAGTGGAATATCTTTTTAATGTACAAGATTCTAGATAGGAATGTGGATTCAGGATACACATTTCTTGTTCCTTTTTTTTTTGTTTTCCAGTGCAGATAGTATTTTTAGGAATCAGGTGTAAAAGTGCTTAAATAGACATGTCAAAAGAGACAGCACAGGAAAGAGGGACAGCAGGTGGTGAAGAAGAGCTGGTACTGAACTGAAATGGGACAAATGCTGAAAGGACAGCATGGCTCTATTCTAATTTAAAAGTTGCACATGTTTTAATTTCATTGCTGTAACTTTATTCCACCAAAGGCCGCTTTGTCAACAATGCCTTGTGTTATCTGAGCCTGATCCTTTAGAAGTTTCTACTGTATCATTACATCCATTTATATTTTGAAGAAGAAAAATCTCAGTAGGCACATGGAAAATATGCTGCTGAGGAGCGTATTTCAGGTTGGCACTAAAAAAATGAATTCAGCAGCGGGATATGTGACTGTGCAAGCAGCTGTAGCATCATACAGCATCCTCAAGGCCAGTGGTCTCCAAGCTTTGTGATTGCCATCCATATCACTGAAAACTCTTAGTGTGCACCCACTACGTATATTTATTAATTTATAAGTAATATATGTACTACTATACTAATTTATTATGTACATACACAGGAATAGAAATTAAAAAAACTGCGAGAAAAGTGAAATAAAGACTATTTTTAAATTATTTAAAATTTCATTTGTTAATTTTGCAAAATACACTTTCTTCTTGCACCCAAATGGATTG